TGCGATGCTTAACTGGTGGCTCAAAGTCATAAGCTTCAGTCAAATCGTGATACCTTTGGGTGCTTTTTTCGACTTCGATCTTTTAAATCGTTTGCGAAGAGGTAACTTGGAATGGAAAAGTTTTTGGTAATCCACACTCTTGACGTTGAGCTTCCGCTTTCTTGGGCTTTGGCGAACTGGAAGACCTTCTTGTTTCACGCAAGCAGCATCCATGGCTTTCTTTACGTTTTCTAAAGAATCGAGGGCATTTTGGAGGACACTGGCATCTTCAACAACATACGTAAAATCGGATATGCCCCTGACTTTCTCCTGGACGGCTCCTTTTAGCATGATAATCAATTTCTCGTCCTTCTTTCCGCCTTTTGCAGCATTCTCTTTAGGGCTCTCTTCACTGTGTTCTATACGTATGTCTTCAAAAGCAACGTCACCTTCACTATCTGTGGCTAGTTATTGACTTGCTACCTCAGACTGCACGTTGTCAACAATCGTTAGCCCTTTCGCTCTGACGAAGGGCTAACGCTTGAAACGTCAGCTTTTTAACTCTTTACGGTGGCCAATGCACAATTTCAACTTAGTTGATAAAACCAAATTACTTTGTTACCCCCACCGATGCAGCACCACAGTTTCTTTAGAAACTTTCAACCTTTAGTCTACAGTATGCCTTGCAGACTAACAGCTTGCAGCGCTTACTACTGACTACATTTTCTGAAAACACTCTTAACTAAAATCTAAACACATAGCTCCGTGAACTCGAGCTTTCAATATCGCACGTATGGAGTTATCTTTAGGGGACTGCCATATTGCCATGGTTACTAACGTCACGCAATTTCGTCATTGCCGGTCATGAATAAGTCTACTTGACGTGTTTATTTTTGTCTGCTGGACTATAATGAATTTTGTTCGGTAAGATCGGACGAATACAAATAAACAAATTCCTTCAGTTTTCTGCCCTTTCTTCTGAGACGTTTCAGAGTAGCTTCTGGTATTCTACTGGGTTCTCGATTACGTCTCGATTACACGGTTGTGTTTACATGGTTTCGCTTGATATTTCTCTATAGAAGGTTCACTCGTGAAGGATCGCTCGCAAGTTGATCTCTCTTAAAGTTCGCGGACCGACCTGTTCACAAAACGCTCCACAAGTTTTAGTGTGGGTCTACGGCGAACGCTGTGTGACTTTGTATGTATATTGAGCATAATAGCCATCGAATTTCTTTCGCGCAAATCAAGC